GAAGCAAAACAGGCTTATAGTGTTATACAAACATCAGAAGACAAGTCGAAAGCTCAGAAAATAAACTACTCTACAGCTCTGTTAATGTCTGCAAAAAATGTCTCTCGAGTACTACCGTATGCATCCGTGAATGCCATTTGCGCTACCAGTTCTCCCAACGGGCATGAAACCAAAAAAAATCATTTCAACTTAATTCGTCATGAATTCACAAAATCCAAAATGCTCTTCAGCTATTGTTCACATCATCAACAACCATAGCTTTCGAAACAATTTCTCATTCGAGAAAAACTTAAACCATCAAACTCCTTCAATCAAAGCAAAAGAAGTACATTCGAGTGAGGAGGATTATTCATATGCTTTGAGCAACCTTTTCAAGTGCGTATGAACAAATGTGATAAGAAGCGAACTATAAATTAGGAGTGCCAAGTTGAAAAAACTTTGGGAGAAATGCACTGTAATATATGGTCATAAATGCGATTTTTAAGCATGTACTAAATATGATGAGACGAAAAAAAATTTCGTTAGGCGTTAGTATATTGATGATAAGCAACGCATACACTTGTTAACTAACCATTATTTGTTGAGTAGATCTAGCAATGAACACCAATAATAAACTCGACTCAGAATATGATTAAAGTATGATGAAACTCATGCAAAATATTTGCACGCCAGCATATTCATAAACTTGATGGAACTTATTTCGACGCATTGGTTAATGCGAACAAAGGCCATCATTACATTGCCGTATAATACAATGAGATGGAAACTTTGATCATTGTTACGAAGATATAGCACATTACCACATTCCCTCCTCCTTCTGATCACCTTCCGCTTCACTCCCTTCTTGCGAAGTACTCTTTTCAAGAGAATGTCTCAGTGCTTGGTTTTGTGACTATCAAAGTAATAACAAACAGTGACAAAATATGGTCGTTCATTAGAGAGAATTCGAATCTCTTATGTCAAATGAAAGCGAAATTCTATTTAGTGTTCATCATTCAAGATGTCCTTAATTTATTGAGGTATAGCAAATGCATAGAATGAGGTATAGCAAATGCAATGTGCCGAATAATGGTTAGCAACTGACCAATCAACACTTACCATTGGGAAAAATCATGAAGAAAACGTTCCTGAACGGTGAACTGTGAATTAGAGCTCTTTTCGAGTTGATAAAACAGGTATTTGGGATCCAAATACTCTCTTGCATGCTATGGTCAAAACTAAGGTTCCGATTGCACGGATAAAGCTGTTCGTAATCAAGTGCTGGATCTTCCCAAAATTCGTTCACGTACAGATCTGAAATTTACTCATCGAAACGTCTGCATATTTGATTTGCTTTGCTACTGAATTTGTGAACGTTT